TCACGACGCGGGCTGAGCGTGCACGTGTCGCCGCTGGCCTGTGAGAGTGTCGAAAAAGTTGATGAAGGAAGCCAGTGATGACACGCTCAAAGATCTAGATTTGTATTGTCTATTGGGAATTTGAATTTGGTGCGGTATGAATCTTCATGATGATCTGTGCTTAGTTTGAATATTTCATTTTTAGCGAATAACGTTGTACTTCACCTCAGTAACAAAACATCTTAGCGTCTTTAACTTTGATTTGATTGATTAAAATGTTTTAAAGTTGATGAGAGACTACTGCCGACTGAACTGCTAATCGTATAAGATGTTAACACTTGTAGGGCATTTAACATTTAGTATCAAATGGGTTAATTACAGCTCAGATTTTGGATCGCAATGTAAAACAATTGAGACCCATATGAAAGTTTTCATTTATTCAGTATCTATTCACAGTACCAAATTGCTTAATTGAAAGTTTCCAAATGAAGCTTACCCTTGAAGACACGGACACAGATGCATAAGAGCAGAGATTGACACATCCTCCATCTGCAGAAACTGAGCTAACAATAGATTCAGGAATATATCAAAAATATGCAAGCACTCTCGTGGGTACATGAAGGAAGAGCTCTTGAAAATATGCAGACTATTGATAACCAGTATTATTTCAAAAATACCATTCTCAAAATGGCTTCAGCAAGTTATATTCATCTCTCTAACATATGGTCAGGTCAGAATTTTCTATTTTTATCATTATGACACTCTGATATACAGCCTTTGCTACAGTAGTTACATTGATAATACACGGTGGCTGACCAAAGAAATATACTTTCAATGCATCATTATATTGACTATGCCTAATTATAGACAATACTATTAGATTCATGGATGTTTGAGGCAGTTGATGCTGAAGGATTGTTTAATGAAGGCAAATCTACTGAACTGCGGCGAATAACTCTCCGCCTTCTCCTCCATCTCAAGAACTCAACGATTACAGAACTCCCGCTCATGGTGATGCCAAACCCAGAAAATGCAGAAAGGATGATTGACATTATGGCTTGCATATGAGCCTGTAGATTTCAAACACCAAATATTTTGATACATCTTCAAATTTCAACAGCACTATGAACATGATTTAAGATGTGTTATAAGTTGACGGTTATAATTTTATAATTTAACATGTCTTTGCAAGTTGAACGTCCTTTTATGGACGAAACTTGGATTATATAATGCAACAGAACTTATAATTTAAAATCCGCATTAAATGCATAGCTAATGATATTTTGGGCTGTTCTAATATCATATTAAAGTCCCTTCCACAGCCAACCCTCCAAAATTGTGGCGAGGGTTTAGTGTTACAATTTTATAATATAACAATTGAATCTTTTGACTTACAACTGAGTAGAAAAGATGAGCAGAAAGAACCACCAGAACGAACTGAATTGACGCATAGGCCCAACTGTACTTCCGAATCACTACACAAGTTTCAAGTTGAAATCGAGTGACTATTCGCTAATTGTACAGAAATCACATCTACATGGTTATAAATTGATTCATACCCATTGCTGAAGATGTCATGGATGCGAGAAAGCCTAAAATGCAAGAAAAGGGCAAAGATATAGCTAACGCAGCAGAGCCATTGTTGAAAACCTGCTAATATACATTGTCATTTGTTTATAACTGGTTGTTTTATGCTGACAAGACCATAAGAAATGTGATCTTACCAAAAGCTGTTCAAGGAAGCAGAAGTAGGAGAGCATGCTGACGATGACAAGAACAGGCATATCTAACCACAGCCTAATTAACAAACAATCAAAAATTAGCCATGGACAACAATAGACGATTTTTTAAAGGAGTTATTTGTGTAGATCCCTTTTTATAAGCAGTAATTGCAAAATTACACCCCAAATTAAATGCACTTTGAAATATTGGAAACTGAAATTTATCCATGATGTGGGAAATGTTAAAGAAAAATTATCAAAAGTTCCTATGAATTAGAAAGGAAACCAAGCCCCTGACAGTATTGGCTTATCCAGGTCTTCATTCTCCATATATTGCTAGAAGTTGATGCATTGTCAAACAACTGATGCCCCAATCGAGCGGAGGTGATCGATGTAAACACTATAACCATCTTGATGCACACATCACTCCAATTATTAGTGCAGACACTACTCTATCAGTGCAGACTGCACTGATAACAACTGCGTGGATAGGCAGAATTGACTGCACTAATAGATGAAGTGATATGTGCATAAAAATTCGTGTAATCAATGTGTGTTCATTCCCTATATCCCTTTATGATTTACTATAGAGGACCCTCTATAGGACTTCTTTTCCCCAAAAATAATAATGCCTGCTAGTTATGATTATTACTTCTTACCTGAGTGGATCTCTTGTTGTTTGACGTGAATCATTTCCAGTACCAGCTGCAGTAACAAACTGTATACGTAACAAAGTAACTGGTAAATTTTGAACCTCTTGCTTGCAAACTTCACACGTTTTGTTACCCCTGATGCTAAACCACTTCACGACACATTCTTCATGAGCAAGGGCAAGTTCACCTTTGCAGTTGCATTCTAATTTTATTGTATCACCACCTTCTCTCAATTCAATCATACAAATTCGGCAGACAGCCTCATCTTCAGGTATATCCTCACCATCACCATCAATCTCTGGATCATAGAACTACACAGGCATAGGTATAAGGCGCACAACTTAACTGAAATCCTCAAAATTGAATCATGAAATTTGTCTTTGGGTAAGTTTCGCAAAACCCCTAAACTTTGGAGTGTTTTGCACAATAAAAACCCCTTGAACTCGATAAAGCATAGAAAACCGCCTGAACCTTCAAAATTATATTAAGCCCCCGGAAGTATTAGAAAGTCTAATAAACAGTATTAGTGAATGAAGTTAAAAGTCTAAGCTACCCTTTTTTTCTTTTTATCTATCCCTACAAGAAAAGGGTGACATAGAAGATATATTTAGTAGATGGGGTAAAATTGACTGACACCCTGTTCGACAAGGGGGAATGGAGGAGAAGGGAAGCACAACAATT